TTCAAAAAGATATTATGGACGAACGAAGCTTACTTTAGAAGAACAGGAACTTATAACATCAATAGCTTTCATCACTGAGCTCTAGAGAATCCATAAATAATAAAGCAGGACCGCTACAACAGGGTTTCCGAGTCGATTTAAGGGCTGGGCTAGTGAATGGTAAATGACCAATTAATTGGGCCATTTGAATCACCAGAGAAAATTTGCGGAGAGGCTTATTTAAATTTTCTACAAAGCAATTTACCAGATATGTTAGCTGATATGTTAAACAGCTACACAACGATGTGGTTCCAACATGATGTTGCCCCTTCACACAATGCACACCAAGTCAATGATTTTTTGTCAAGACCGCCATCCCTTGAAATGATTAGACCTAAAACTCATTGAGGTTTGAACATTTTTTGTCACATAAGTGTTTGCTCATCCTATTTTTAAGGAAGAAGATCAACAATGGCAGTTAAAGGGTTAATGTAAAAAAGGGAATTTCTGGATGTAAGGTACCTGCAGCACTTTGTTTACTTTACGCAGAATCTATTTAGGGTATTTGATTATCTAATAGGTATTTTCAAAGGCCATTGTATCGAGAAGTTTTTCATCAATATGATCACTTCATCTGCCTACTAAGTTTTTGTACAGACCTTGTTGGATACGCAGTAATCTTGACAACAGGCATTAACTGGAATAAATTTTCACTCATAGATTTTTTCCAGCTACATATCATTTGTGAACATATCCTGTAAATCTGATTGAAAAATAATAAAAGACAACTTCGGAAAAAAATAGTACAGTCTCAAAAGTAGGGGTTTTCAACAAATTATTAAAAATGGCGATAACCTAAATGCAAATTACCTCCCTACATTCCCCCTTTCGTTTGCTCCATGACTTTTGGGACGCCCTGTATAATATCAACCTTCTTTTGTCGAACTGGTATATCTAAATCTGCATTAAAATTTGAGATATTTCATTTAAAAAATTACAACTTTGATATAAGGGTCAAAATATGGGCACCCTATAAGATTGTGGGAAGTGTACCTCCACGTGGATGAGCTACCCTGTATGCGTATGTAGGAATGGATGCTTGTGTATGATGAGGACAACGGGGTGGCCAGTAAATACCTTTGGTATGAATGCTTAGCGCATCGCCCCAACCCATGATGAAATGCTGCAATCATTACTATGGTGTAAAAAGTGATTGAGTGGCTTTAGTGAGTTGCCAAATTTCCTAAGAATCTCACTTTTCGGGCAGGACAGACATGGTGGTGCTGCCTAGATTTGATGCCCAAAAGTGTCTATAAAAGTTCGACCATCCATCAAAATTATTTGTGCATTTGGTAACCTCTTATTGGTGATGACGCGACATATGCCACCATATAGCTGCACTCCTAGGCAGTGTTTTTTCAATTCCATGGCTGGGATCAACTTTGGTTTTCCCTTTTGATTTACCAAGTCGGTAGCTCTGATTTCACATGAGGCATGACAGTAAAAGAAAAATGATTTTCATCTTAGTCTCTTGCATATAAGTCTACGGATATGATCCCACCCTCCGACGAGCTGCGGTGAACACCATTTAGATTGTCATCTTCACGTCGATATGGACACAGCATGATGGAATGTGGAATGTAGACAGACTAAAATTAGTATTTACGATTAATCACCGGTCGTATACACTTCAATATACCTGCGTGTCAAACAATGGGTTGCTACGCACCTAAACACAGCGTCGCTGAGGATTAATGTGGATTTATGCGAATCGGGGGATATGCGACATTGTGATTAAGTTATCGTGGTAGAGGCTCAGAGGGACAGCTCTCGCAAAAACTGATTGGAATTACTCATCTACAGAACATGTATTATTAATAACCAATCTCTACAGACCTCTGTCGGAAGCTTAGCGAATAAATCAGTTGTTGGAATGGCTGGTTTAACGAGCTCCCACAGCCATTGCTAAAAGAAAATTCGTTATTTCGAAATAGAAGCTCCGTAACTAAGCATTAAAAAATAAAGTTAAGTGAATCGACGCAGTACCTCAAACTCATATTCAATTTTTATTGAAAGGCGATACCAGATAAAAAATGACGTCCAGTAGATGGACTTTGTACATCTCACGCCTCCGTTCGAAATATCAAAGCACAGGGATAAGTCAAATTGAAAAGATGGAAGTGAATCTTGACTAGGTAGGTTGTTTCGAGTATGATGAATCATCGACCTCTACATATACTGAGTGACAAAAAAAGGTAAACACCTACCTATGTTTATTTGAATTCAAGAATTTTTTACATATCGATTTATCTTGCCATGAACAACAAGCGATAAAAAAGTTTTTGTGGTGGCTGCTTATGTTGTTTGGCGATAAGGAAGCATTCAGTTTCCGTACATTTACGGTGTCAGTTAAATGTTAAATTTCGTGTAGCTCATTGAGAAGCCTTTATATGATTGTTCAAAGTGCCTAGACTGCATAGAATTCGCCGGGTGTCCCAGCTAAGTGACTTGAGAGGGATCGAATTGTCGGGTTGCGTGAAGCCGGTCTATCGATAAGATAAGTTTCTAGGGGGACCAAGAGATCTTCACGCAATATACTGCAGTATGAAGGAGCGTGGAGTCAGGAAGCCCGAGGACAGCGAACGGGGGATTCTGGATGACCCAGAGGGACCACAGAGCGACAAGACCGCCGGTTAAGACTTCTTGCTCAGAGAGACAGATTCAGTAGTATTTCAGCCATCGCTAATCAGTGGTTTGAAGAGCATGGAAGGCTGGTTGGTATGCGTACGGTATATCGCCGAATACAGTTTGGCCTTTTTTCTTATCGCCCACATTGGGTGCTACCTCTCACAGCTGAACATCGGCGTAACCGTTTGCCCTATTGTAGAGAAACAATTCTATGGGACCGGGAATGGAATCAGGTAGTCTCTAGTGACAAATCCCGCTTCTGTCTAGGGATGCACGATGGTCGGGCAAGAGTGAGAAGGCGACGTGGTGAAATACGTGACCCACAATTTGACAGACAGCGTCACGCTCACCACACCGTGGGATTTAATTTAATTTTCATCAGCGCCAATATGACATCCCGACGCTATATTCAGGAATTAGTGGAGCCTCATCTTATTCCATACCTAAATACCATCCAAAACCCGATTTTCCAGCAAGACAGTGCCCGACTGAAAGTTGCCATAGCATCGTAGGCATTTATGGATCAACACCGCTTCAACCGTTTACCTTGGCCACCATGATCGCCTGACCTATCTCCAATTGAACATGTCTGGGACATGATAGGTCGCAGGCTCTTGAACTTGTAACACTCTCCACGGGCAGCTCTTACTCACTAAGTTGCAGTAGCCTGGAATGAGATACCCCAACCGTATATTGACCACCTTATCAGCACGATGCCCAGGAGTGTCAATGAGTGTATAAGAAATCGTGGAACCTCAACACATTATTGAACCAGCTTCTGCAGTCAGTTGACGAATCAAGCTGAAAATTTTTATTAGTAAGGGACACTGAACATATATGCCAAAAATTATTAAAATCGGATAAACATACGTAGGTGTTTAATTTTTTTTGTCAGTATATTAAACCGTATAACAAAATAAGCCATATTTGGGTTCTAGTAGCAGATCAGCTACCTTCTAATAATAAAAGATCTTCCATTGATACCAACAACCATCCAGCACATACAGCTTTCAACCCGCAATTTTCAATCTCTCCAAAAAATATCTGAAACTGAGCATCAATCTCTGAAACATGAAAACATTAAAACAACTTTATTTTTACATGTTTCTCAAGTTGTTACCACTTCTGGGCGTAATCAAAAAAATTCTTGTCGGAGTTGAGATTTTGACAAACTTTCGCCATCTTACAGGATTAGGATTGCTTAGATATTTAAATTATTGGCATGAATGAAGTGTAAGAACATTACGGTTGAATATCACGAAAATTTTTAAGTAATTCAGCATGTATACTTGAAAATCGTAGTACATCAATGCGTGAGAAGAACAGAGTCCTTCGACTTATCAACTTCCGTTATTGTTATTAGGCCCTGAGAATAATTGAAGGGTGTGCCGGAACAACGTCCTAATCAACAAAAGTTTAGTTTTGAGAAAAACGAAAAAAAATGCTTTTCTATGTTTTACTCCCAAATTAAAAAAGAAAACGGACAGGCTATATTAATCGATATCTTAATATATTTGAGAAACACAACATCTTTTCATAAACCATGTTAAACAAATTAAGAGCCTTAGAAAATAAATTCCCTAAAACAAAGTTATATATACATGTTACTTACAACGTTTTTACACGGAAACGAGTCGTTTAACAACCTTGTTTTACGCTTCGTGGGTCAAAGTTTCTTTATTGAGATACAGTGAACCAACACAGTTGGTGCTACAAGAAACATGATACAAATGGATTATATTTTCATGGTATTAAACAACTTTCAGGTTTTCATAAAAATTAACATATTTTTAGGGGATATAGTCACACATATCCATCAGGTTTGCCTTTTTTTCCTTTTTGATTGAAAGTGCTTCATTATATGCCTCTTTAAGGTCTCTTATCGCTACTTCTTGTACTAATTTCTAGCGTGACTTCAACAAGTAAGTAAACCATGGTTGAGGTGTGTTGTGGGACTTTCTCACTCGTAAAGTATTCACATCATCTGCGGTCATTTGCAACCACATTACTAAGGTGATTTTACATGATATATAACATTTTCCGCTGCCTGAAAATCCTTTAAAAAAGGTTGATGCATGAAGATCACTTTAAATGGATTGGATACCCTCGACTTAGAGAGACAACATCAGCCCACTGTGAAGGAACAAATACTGCAGAGATATTTTTTTGTCGTTCTATGAGAGCAAAGTCTCTATCACACGGCAAAAAGCTATGCCCGCTCGTAAGAAATTTTTGTTCGACTTGCGGAAAGAGCTTTCATAAAACTAGAAGTCGCAGCATTGTTAGCATTTTCCAGTTATTGTTCTGGCCCACGCACCTGTCTGACCATACAACTAGTTTTTTTCTTCACCTGGTTTGAGGCGGCTATACTTGTTAGTAATATAGAATAGTAGTGCTGAAGCCATCTCTGTAGATCCCCGGTGTGCCATTGCTTCATGCCATAGTAACATTGTTGTGTTTTCCTCCCCCATATTATGAACAGCATAGTTATATGTTGAGAATTGCCTTTGGTAGAATACAGATGAATGTGTCAAATTGGGACGAAAAAGCACTTGTTGCAGATCTGTGCATAATACAACATAATTGGGATTGAGTTTAGAGGTCTCGGTATCATCTTTCAATGTTTTATAACCCGCTACAGCTTTTCTATGGTGGATTTCACTCTCGATTTCAATTTTTTTCTTTTCATTAGCGTCATCAGTTGAACAAAGTTTCATAAACAGTTTTTCACAATACGAACATGTGTCAGATCTTGGTAGACCAGATCGTAGATTGAACTTGCTCTTGAAAATGCCGTGATACTCTATACCGTACTTTACAGTGCAATGTCTGCGAGATATATTTTACTCAACTCTCCTACGTTTTGGTTCTTGGAGGGACATGATTTGTGACAGATACTGCGACTGACCAGCATAATCAAGCTTCCTAAATTTCTGGAACAGACTCACATGCCTTCCAACGAGCAAATCGGCGTTACATCCTCTGGGGGTTTGAGGACATTTTCAGACACGTTTCTGAAAAAAATGCACACATTACACGATATCCCATACTGTCAGAATGGTCACAGGCCTAAAGCATGAGTGAAAATGAGAAGAATATGTCGGTGGCCACCCTGCATATTGTGGATTAAACACCTTACACAAAAAACGCTCAATATTTTTTGTACACTATAAAATAATAATGTGCATCGTCTGTGGATACTTTTAACTGTTAATAAATCATACCTCTTCTGGCTGGCTTAACGCAGCCAGGTACGTTTCTCGATGAAATGTAAGCTTCTCCTGCATCCCTCTGATGTTTTCTTACAGTCGGTTAGAACGTTGTTCCGGCATACCCTTCAATTTACTCATGTATATCTCTAATAGACTGAGAAACACATACTAAATATTCAGCAAAATGGGGCAACCTACAATTTGGAAAAGGATTTCTGTAAATATAAAACAGTTGAATTATTATTTACAAAAAGCATGATTACACATACACATAATGCCGATCTTAAAGTTGCACGCTCAGTTTGGCTGACATGTTTCGAAGAACGATAAAGTGGCACCTACTCGTAATACCCAATTATTATTGCCTCACTATACAAATATTCCAGTCTAGTATTATTCCCCTTTTGCGGTGCGAGTATGTCGACCGTCGTCGTCGGTCTCAGTCAGCCACAATGTCTGCTTGCTACCATCTGTTACTAGCTTCCAGGACGATGTCGCATCGCCTCGTTGATGTGAAATTTTTCGTTTCTGCTCATAAGAACCGCCGCGACTGCACCGATTTTTATAAATTAAGGGCCGTATCGACAGTCGCTCCTACAATGGTAGGACGCCTTTATAGCCTCCTTGATTACATAGTCTTTTCTCTCCTTACAAAAAATTCTAGATTGCACGTGTTCAGTGTGAGCGTCAGCGCTCTCCTATTGTGAAGTTATGCTGTCTTTTTGAATTGTAGGAAATTTCAGGCTGGTATGACATCATCTGAATCAAGAGCATGGGCAGTTTGATGCAAATAGATATCTGTGACATAACCTCAAAATAAAGCGCTGACCCGGAAAAGAAGAAAACTATGAAAATCAAGGAGGCCATAAAGGCGTCTTACAATTGTGGGAACGACTGACGATACGGCCCTAACTAGCATCGCATATATTGTCCAAGGTTCTGGTACCCAAAAGTAGTCCGACAGAGAGACAGACTGATGAAAATGATGTACGTCATATTATAGTCCTGTCAGTGTGAAGACCACAGGATAAGTTTCAGGTGTTAAATTATCAATATAAATATGATGAAGAACGCGGTAATCAAAGATTTTAGTTATACAACCACCATTGAACCTCAAAAATATAAATATCGTTATTATATTTTTTATTAACCCGAAGCAGTCATGGAAGCAAAGCCTAAATTAACCGGAGTACGGAATGCAGCGACTGCTCTTGTAAAAAGGTACGCGTTTTGATCCCGCTCATGTCATATTTTACAGAAAGCCTCTTTAGTACGACTGGCTGTGGATGTATTATGGTTGACCGGTTGAACATAAGAACCATAATTTTGGTAAGTCCAGTTAGCCGGCCCCGAACGTAGCGGCAACAGAGGAGCAAGATTCATTGGCATTCTGATATAAATTGCCCTCAAACGCACATCAATTGGAAAGAGACTTGAAACCGCCTATTAAAGGGTGCCAGCGGCTAGTTGGACAGCTTTGCAGAACCAGCTCCAGCGTGAGTTTATGAGCCTCTTAATTATGGTGCCATACCTTTTAGAAGCTTCATCCAGTCTGCGACTTCACCTGATTTCCCTACAGGCGCTAGCACTACAAGCATAATAATAAGAGTAACAATTACTACTTTTACATTGACTCCATCGTATTTCTTTACCTTCCTTGATAGCATATTATAAGCTGCGATATAACAGCGGAACTTCGTCGCCTGTCTCAATTTCCTTAATGAAACCTACGAACGTAAGAGGCTGGGAGACAAGAAGACTCAGGCTTGTATTGGCAGTATGATGCACTTTCTCATTTGGCTGTGAATAATGTTACACCTTAAATCCAGTTTTAGGCTACAAATATGCGATTACTAAATCAATTTTTATCAAACTTTAACTCCCACTTCTAAGTCAGCATTTTTCCAAAGTAATCCATCAGAATACTAATTTTTGGTCAATTGTTTTTAAACACGTTAATCTCTCGCACACATATAGAACATATAAATTTTGTAGCCTTAAAGCAACATCGTTGACATTTCTTACTCCCTGCATCATGATGGCACTGAAATACTATTTTTTGAAGGCCTAATAGTTTTCTGGATTTGCCTTGGATAAAATGAGACAAACAGTCTTGATTTAATACTGTGTCAGAGAATTTATATAATAGATGTTTTCTGGTCGTTAATTAGGATTGTTATTAGAATTAATAAATTTTCTAATGGTTTAACCATGGATTCAGTGCAAAAATTTATGTAACTTACTAAAACCGATACATTTTCCTCAAGGATGCCCATTATATGGATGAAGTATATTTTCTCAGGTATTCTTAATCAATTCATCAAAAGAACTGGTTATAATATTGCTTTGAATTCTGCAGTAACATTTATCAGTTATTTGAGAATAACCGGTGTTCTTTGGGGGCCTGCCTCTCTGTAGCTTGTGTCATGTTATTCTGAAATAACATGTAGGATGTAGGGTGACTGACCTACATTGTGCTTAGGTGGATAATTTACTGGTTACAGGGGTTTTAAGGTCGATCCTGCTACCCTACAGCAGCGTAGTAGGAGTGTGGTAGTCGGTTTGCAGCAGATGTATGATATTTATTTCCTATCTTATCGCTATCGAAGCGCTATGTGCTTATTTGTAGACACTATGTAGAAAAGAGCTACAGTTAACAAAATATCATTTGTCCATGCCTACGCGCACTTTTGACGCCAAGTGCTTATTTTGCAGAGGTTCCTGTTTTTGATTCCAAGACATCCTCATCTATTAATTTTTTTTTACACTGCGCAGGCAGGTACCTGAATGCCAGGGCACCACGGCTGCTATGGGGATCTCAAGGAAATTTTGTTAAACCGATTTTTGTACTGCCTAAGTTTGGTTGAACTGAGAAAAGCTTCCTGTTGTAGATTGTCCCATAATTTCGATACCATCTGGATAGAGGAGCGGTCATATCGGCCAGTTCTGCATATACGAAGTTGTTCACAGTTAGGATGGGAGCCGAAGTTAGGCGGGTCTGTCTGGCAGGCACATCACGAGGCGACATCATGGTGGAGAGTTCTGAGGAACAAAGCCAGTTGGTATATCGGTAGGAGAGGGTTAGATCGCCGACGGCCCGCCGGTACGAAACGTCTCGAGACATCGATCATTCGGACAACCCTCCTCTGGATAGCATCGAGCATAAAGTCGGGGCGGCAGCACTCCAAACGTGTGAACAATACTAGACTAGGTCTTATGTGGGCTTTGTATAGAGTGAGGGGATCATGCGGAAAAAAGGACTCCTTAGCCGTAAACAAGATCAAGTCCATGGTGATCTGGACTCCGACAGCTGAAATGAACTCGGCCATGGATCGAAACCGGTTGAGCTCTAGGACGCTTTTCATTCTTCAAGGTACAGTACTGTGTTTTGGACGCATTAAACTGTACAAAATTGTTGCATCCCCAAGTAGTAATTAGCTCCAGGTCTCTCATCAGAGAGGAAGTCGCTGCTAGTCTTTTTTTTTCCAGCTCACCGGCAGAGATCGGCTTGTCGCTCTGAATTCCTGCATGTAGAGCGCTGTTATCAGCGCGTTCACGTTCAGGGACGAAGAGGATAGCTTGCGGCAAGAGAAAAAGTCAGCTACCCATTTGCAAAGCTTCTCTGGGAGGCCATGGGATAGAAGTTTGCATAAGAGAGCAGCTGATCGAACGCTTTTGAGATATCAAGCGCAACGACATGACCCGCATCATACCACTGGATGAGCTTACTCTGCACAATGTCGTGACGACCTTACTTACAACAAAAAGCAGAGCTATAGGCTTGTAGCAGCGAAGATCACCTTAGCCTTTAAGTGGTTACAATCGTTCCACCCTGACATGTAAGTGGTGGAAGGCTAATCTGTGAGAAGTTCGTTTCAATCTGCTTGGCCAGCGACCAGAAAGGCCGACTGCCATTGCGCTGGAACGTTACCCTGAGCCTAACTTCTATATCGTGCTGATCTTCGGCATTGGCTTCGTTACATTTGTTTCTGGACGTCCGCTTGTCTGTTTTTTACAGTGGGGTTTTGTAAGAAGGTCCTATGTGCCTTAATCTTCTGCTGACGAGCAGTTTCGTACGATTTGTTGAACCTTTCAGCGTGTTAGGGATATGTTCCTCCATTTCGACGTGGATAATTTCGATTACCGATGAACAGACAGCCCACTCATACGCGTTCAACAAAACAAACATCTCTCCATGGAAAGGTGGATAAGTCTCTGAGCCCCTCCCAGTCGGCATGTTCGTGATGCCAAATTTTCCGGCCTGGGCGAGTTTCTGGCGCCACAGCGGGTTCTGGCAAAAAGCTCACCTCCATAACATCGTGAAAGAGATCCGGCAGGCTACTGGCGTGTGTCGAAACGCGGTGGCAAAAGTAGGGTTCGTCATCACCTGGATCAGTTGTTGGGTAACAGTGAACGCTTCAACTACACGACTTGCTTCACCAGCCTTGTTTGAGATCAATATGGGCCTCATTATGGACACTAAAATTACCAACGAGAACTACTTCTGAAGCGGGGTGATTGATGTTCAGAAAGTCCTTCCTGTTTCTTTTTCTCCGCCGCCACTACATCGTTCCTTGAGGACATCTGGCGGCTGTATCTACTCAGACTATGTGCTAGTAGAAGGACAACAGACTAGCAGGCCGACGCTCATAAGTATGTGACAGGCTTTAGTAATGTTAGGGTGTTGAGACTTTGACGAAAAGGTTGTTACTTCTAATTAGGAATTTTGGCAATCTTTTCATCCAGCGCCATCGTGGGGTCGAAGACCGAACATTCAGTTCATAGACACGTATAGGCCAACAGAAATTTAGAAAAGACAGGAATTCAAAAAATCATATCTTGAAAATTAAGTTTTGTTCTTGTTACAATACCTTTCGGGCTGATACGCATACGAATCCCTCGAGCCCAAGAAATGTCTATCTCACGTTAAAGGTACACTTTCATTCTAACAGGTGCGTGTCGCGACACATGCTGCGGTTGCTTACCGCCTCGGCACTAACTTGTTCCTCAACATGTCCTATGTTGTTTCCATTCCAACAAATTTCAGGCACATGTTGGGCCAGCATATAAGGTGCAGCATGGTTTGGAGCAAATTTTGTGTA